TTTAAAATCACCAAAGTTTAAATGTATTTAATGTACTCTCATCAACATAATTCTAATGTGCATAAGTAATGGCAAAATTGGCATTTGGTACAAAAGATATAATCTTGATCACTATAATTTATATAGTGAGTAAAGATTTTGTTTTTAAATAACTAGATTGATCTTTTCCCCCTATCCCTAATTACAACTTCAACCTCAAAAACCTGTTATTAAATAAAGTCATTATCGTTAATTTTAGGTTATGACAACGAACGAAGCGAGGAAGAGTGTAAACAGCTCGTTTACATATTGACACTTGACATATTATCATGATTAGTTTAATCTTTATATGTATATTCTGTACGTGTGTTTGTTACTGAACCTCTCCTAAAAGGCTGGACCAATTTTGATGAAATTTTTTGCGTGTTTGAGTAACAGTTGGACCCCGTAGATGGGCGCTTTTATCGAGATCCAAAAACCACCTGTGTGAAGCCGGGGCATGGTAATATTAAATTTTTTAGAGACTGATGAAAAATCACGAATACGTCTATTCGGTTAGATCGTAGAGATATTTTTTCGACGTTTGGTTCCATGTGATCCGCTTTTGCTTTCGTTAAAGTTAATTAGTTTAGTTACAACTGGTTTTACAAATTTTGAAATCGTTTAAAAGGATCATTGTTACCTTAAGCAAAATAAGTTGTTAGGACTGTATGTTTAAATAGAATGTGAGGTATTCTGTGAAAATCGCATGTGAATACAAAGTGCTAGAAAAAAATATACCTACAACCTTACAATGTACAATTTGGGCATGTGTAGGGAGGGTAGGGAAACTGAAACAGCAGATGGGCAGCAGTATCTTAATGATCTCCTAATACTCTTACGGGAACGGGGTAGCTTAAATAGCTATTTACTTAGGTTAGATAGCTATGAATGTGCATCAATATTTTATAGAGAAAAACATGAAGGGGGCGGGGTTTGTATATTAATAGACAATAATATAGAATTTATTGAGCGTAGTGATATAACTAGTCTTTCAACTGAACTTGTTTTTGAAGTATGTTGTGTAGAGATCCCAAAATTAAATATTATAATTGTTAATATTTATTGGCCAATGAGAAATAGAAACTTGGAAGTGTTTTTACATTACTTGAACATTTGCTAAAAAATATTTACCAAAACAGACCCTCAAAAATATAATAATAGGAGGTGATTTTAATATAGACTTTCTATGCAAGTCAGAACTTCACTCTAAACTTTTCAATCTCTATTCTATATATCTTTTAAATCTATTTCTTTTTTCAAAAGCGTCATTGCCAAGGCAAGGTCTGAGCACATCGGCAGAATTGGCGAGAAGCTAGTTCGCCTTCCTTCGGAAACCCGTGCATTCTGGTCTCTCGCCTAGGCTGTCCAAGGGAACTTCTGTCAGCCATCTCTTCCATCTCTGCACAGAGAGGACGACCCACTGGCCCATGTCGCAAACGAGAAAGCCGATCTGTTGTGCTCTCTTTTTGCGTCTAACTCGACAAAGATGACGGGGGGAACATACCGCAGACCATCCCGCGATGTGAGTGCTCCATGCTGGATGTGTGATTTACACAGCGCTCGGTTCGCAAAGGACTCTTCTCCCTGGACGTCAGCTAGTCGAGTGGGCCCGATGGAGTCCCTCCCATTGTGCTGAAGACGTGTGCTCCGGAGTTGGCACTGGTTTTAACGCGTCTTTTCCGGTACTCTTACTCCCAAGGCGTAGTCCCGAATTCATGGAAGACAGCTTTGGTCCACCCGATCCCTAAAAAAGGCGACCGCTCAGACCCGTCCAACTACAGGCCTATCGCCATCACCTCCTTGTTCTCCAAAATAATGGAATCCATTATAAACTACCAGCTCATGAGGTACCTTGAGGATCACCAGCTGATCAGTGACCGCCAGTACGGTTTTCGTAAGGGTCGATCAGCAGGTGATCTTCTAGTTTACTTAACTCATAGATGGGCGGAGGCAGTAGAGTCCAAGGGGGAGGCATTGGCCGTTAGTTTGGACATAGCGAAGGCCTTCGATCGGGTCTGACACAAGGCGCTTCTTTCGAAGCTTCCTTCCTATGGGCTTCCCGAGAAATTGTGCAAATGGATCACCAGTTTCCTTGCTGATCGGAGCATCAAAGTCATAGTAGACAGTGCATGCTCTGATTTCATGCCTATCAACGCTGGTGTTCCACAAGGCTACATGCTATCACCAACGCTGTTTCTCCTGCATATCAATGATATGTTGCTAACTGGTAGCATTCATTGCTATGCAGACGACAGCACTGGAGATGCCTTATATACCGGCCGTGCCAATATTTCTCGGGAAAACGTCGCCGAGTACCGGGAAAAACTTGTGTCTGAAGTCGAGTCTTTACTTAACAAAGTCTCGGATTGGGGCCGACTAAATCTAGTCCAGTTCAATCTCCAGAAGACACAAGTTTGCGCGTTTACCGCTGAAAAGAACCCCTTTGTCGTATCTCTTGCTGCCTCAGCCAGTATTGGAATCCTTGGCGTCGACATATCGAATAGCGTGCAGTTTCATGGTCACTTGGAAGAGAAGGTCAAATTGGCCTCTAAAAAGCTTGGCGTGCTCAATAGAGCGAGACAGTATTTCATGCCGGCACATCGCTTGCAACTTTACAAAGCGCAAGTTCTGTCCCACATGGAATACTGTTCTCATCTCTGGGCCGGGGCACCCCAGTGCCAGCTCCTTCCACTTGACCGAATCCAGCGCAGAGCGATTCGAATCGTCGACGACCGAGTTCTTTCTGATCGGCTCGATACACTGGCACTGCGTAGAGATGTTGCATCTCTTTGCGTATTTTATCGCATCTATCACGGGGAGTGCTCTGAGGAATTGTTCGGACTAATTCCAGCCGCTCAATTTCACCATCGCACATCGCGACAAAACTCGCGTTACCATCCATACCATCCGGATGATTGGCGGTCCACCACTGTGCGATTTAGAAGAAGTTTTCTCCCGCGCACAACTTCTTTGTGGAATCAATTACCACCAACGAATTTTCCGGACCGATACGACTTACGAACCTTCAAGAAAAAAGCTTACACCTTTCTAAAAGGCCGGCAATGCATCTGCAATTCCCCTGGTGTTGCGGTTGTTCATGGGCGGCGGTAGTCACTTAACATCAGGTAAGCCGCATGCTCGTTTGCCCCCTATTCTATAATTAAAAAAAATCCAATGGTAAGTATCGGAGGTGCCGAGCCTCCGGCTCCTAGGGGACAAGCGGAGTTGGTGTTTGGCCCTGCCAGCGAACACCTTCACATTCTAGTTAAAGTAAATGTCCTCGATGACATTGTAGGTTTTCTCCCTAACGTCCGTATAAATAACAGCGCGGTTCGTTGTGCGTCGGGTTTGAGACCAGCAGACCCTCAATGGTCCCAACCTGGGCCTATAGATTTGTTGCTGGGGGCCGACGCGCTGGGGTTCATCTTGTTAGGCTGGATACGAGCCCTACAGCCCGATGGCTTGTCAGCCATGTCCACTGTATTTGGGCACAGCTTTTATGCATTGGACCCCTATGGTCCAAGCGGAGCATTTCGAGCCCGTGATTGAAACCTTGAAGCGGGGCTCCGTTGTCAAGGGCGCTCTGGCCCATCTGAACCTCTTCCTGGACGACGCTGGGATGCTGCGCGTTGGCGGACGTTTGAATTTGTTCTTCTCAATTGCCGTACGGGTCTCGACACCCGTTACTGCTCCCTAAGGACGGCGCCTTTGTTCGGTTGCTGGTAATTCACCATCATGTTAAGAATGCCCATGCTGGGAGTAACGCTCTTTTGGCTATTGTGACAACGGGGCTTGTCTTATATAATTCTTGTTGTAATATTTTTGAGTGATTAACTTAACTTCGATTACCAGGAATTTTGATTGGTCGTGTGGAACGCTAAAACTTTGTGACTCGATAAGAGATCGCGTTCGTGCTCGTGGTTATAATTTTGTGCTAAGTGAACCTGGGACATTGAACTTTGACCGACCATTCTTAAGTTGTGCAGCGTTTCACTTGTTTTAATTTCGATTAACGTTGATTTGGTTGAATTTGAAGTTAATTAAATGTACAATAAAGTTGATAAACTAATATAGTGAAATAAAAGCAGAAGGTTTCAATTGGTGAACGCCCACTGGAGTGATCGCACATTTTGGAGGAAATCGGCGCCTGTAGGTCCGCTCTCAGAATACGTCGGTGACGTCAGGTTACATCTACACACTTTCACACACTACTTACATACACCTCACTTACCACCTGACTTCGCCTTGTGGTCGACACTACCTCCGGAACTCGGTAAGTCTGTGCTTGCTTATCAGCTATTAGTTAATTATCCATAGGCCATTTGGGCCCGAACCCTCTGTTGCTCGTAGAGTGTATTACTGATGGGCCCTAATACAGTCGACTTCTGTCTAGGTAATTGAGGGACGTAACACTAAATAACGAACAAAATTTGGCTGATTAACTGTTCAGCAATTGGTTACCTATTATTATATTGTGATTTATCTTACAAATAGCTCTCCGACCCATTTATTATATCAAACAAGCATCAACTAGGGGTTGAAGTTGGTATTGGGTATGGGTGGGGTCGCTAAGACCCGAGCTTAGTGACTTCTATAAAAAGCCCGTCTTTTGACTGCAGTGCTCTGATGGTGGAGCACAAGTATGCAGGTACCAACCAGTCCGATCTGTCCACGTCCCCGTCTTACCCCCTGGGACCTTCTGCGCCCGTACTCTAAGTACGATCACCATCCCTTTCTGAGAGCGCAGATGCTAAGGACAAAGGGCGAAGGCGAGCAACTGGCGCCTTAAAACTGGTTTCAACTCGGAAGGGACGATACCTGAAAATAAACGGAGCTAGGTCTTGAGCTCAAAAGTGTCAGCCCCACTAAAGGCCTAGGACGCAGGGGTTAATCACCCACTCGTCTGAATACAAACGATTGTGAAAGGAAAAGCAAACCTTACGGACCGGATTTTAAACCAACGACCTGGCTACTCAATAATGGCTAACGAATTTACCTTATGTACATGGAACTTAAGAACACTGTACAGACCAGCGGGCCTTCAACTTTTATGTCAACAACTTGCAAATCACAGAGCTGATATAACAGCGGTCCAGGAACTTAGATGGATGGGACATGGCGTTATTGATAAACCAGATTTCGCCATATATTATAGTTGTAATGAAAAGCATCATACCTTTGGAACAGGTTTCGTCGTGAGCAAACGCCTAAAACATCTTGTAATTGATTTCCAACCAATTAATGAACGTATGTGTAAAATCAGATTTAAAGGTAAATTTCAAAATTAAACAATCATCAATGTACACGCTCCGACGGAAGATACTGACCTCGAAGAGAAGGAAAGATGGTATTCCGATGTGGAAAGCGTGTATTCCAAATCTCCCAAAGGTGACATCAAAATTATAATTGGGGATATGAATGCAAAGGTGGGAAGAGAAAGTATATACCGACCAACGATAGGCTCCCACAGCCTACACGAAACATCTAACGACAATGGCACACGTCTCATTGATTTGGCAACTTCCCTAGGAATGGTCATCGGCAGCACACGCTTTCCACACAAGAATATCCATAAGATAACGTGGGTCTCCGCGGATAACGTCACCCGAAACCAAATAGACCATATTTTGATAGACGGGAGACACTGCTCTAATCTTCTGGATGTCCGAAGCCGTAGAGGAGCAAACATCGACTCCGATCACCATCTTGTTGTATGCAAAATAAGAGCACGAATATCATGGTATAAGTACACCAAAACGGTAACAACAAAAAAGATTGAAACAACAAGGCTGAAGAGAGAGCAGGATGTCAAATACAAATATATGGACACAGTTCACAGAGAACTTATGAAAGTGGGCGAAAGAAATAGCAACAGCATTGGCGATCCTGATAGCACCTGGCGGAATCTTAAAGGGGTTTTATCTACGGCTGCTAGTGAGATTTTGGGATTTGAGGAAAAACCGAAGCGTAACGACTGGTTTGATGATGAATGTCAAAAAATCACTAATGAGAAAAATGATGCATACAGATTAATGCAACAGAAGTAAACTCGCGGGCGTGGAGAAGAGTATAAGAAGCGAAGAAGACGAGAAAAACACCTACATAAGAGAAAGAAAAGATCGTACGAAGAACAACAACTGCGTGAGATTGCATCTAGTTACACACAAAAGGAAACTAGAAACTTCTACAACCAAGTAAATGGGGGACGGAAAGAATTCAAACCCAGAACCACGGCGTGTAGAAGTAAGAATGGACAGCTACTTAATGATAAAGATGAGATCGTTCAAAGATGGGCTGAATACTTTCGTGAACTCCTTAACAGTTCAGTGCAGACTCGTCCACTTTCTGTACCAGTACCTGAAGCTCTACTAAAGAATCAAGAGACTGATGAATCTTTGTACCCCACTATAGAAGATATTAAACGAGCCATTCAATCCATTAAAAATAAGAAATCTCCGGGAATGGACGATATCCAAGGCGAACTTATAAAGTATGCCGGAACTGGTTTCGAGAAAGAGTTTCACCACCTGGTGCTCCAAATTTGGAACAATGAAAAAATGCCTGATGATTGGAATACATCTGTTATCTGTCCCCTACATAAGAAAGGCGACATATTGGATTGCAATAATTACCGAGGCATATCTCTCTTGAACACCGGTTATAAAGTTTTTGCCAATATGCTTTTTAATAAACTAAAGCCATATGTAGACTCCAGCTTGGGAGAGTATCAGTGTGGGTGCCGTCCAAACAGGTCCACAGTAGACCAAATCTTCTCGCTTAGGCAGATCCTTGAAAAAATGTTTGAGTACAACGTGAATACTCACCACCTTTTCGTAGACTTTAAGGCTGCCTATGACAATGTGCACAGAAGTTTCCTGTACCAGGCTATGATGGAGATTGGCATCCCAACAAAGCTCGTGCGCCTGACGGAGATGACTTAGAAACTCTCAGAGCGTTGTTAGAGTTCAAACAAATGTATCAGAGCCCTTCAGAACCAATGACGGCTTAAGACAAGGGGATGCGCTCTCGTGCCCACTGTTCAACATCGCTCTCGACAAGTGTATTCGCGACTCAAAGATCGAGACCAAAGGCACTATCTATCACAAATCTGTTCAAATCCTAGGATATGCGGATGACCTCGACGTGATAGGAAGATCTCTACCTGCAATGGAGAGTGCATACCTTGCTCTAGAAAAATCAGCTGCGGAGGCTGGTCTCCAAGTTAACATGGCTAAGACTAAGTACCTGAAAGCGTCAAAAGACCAGCAAATTCTACTACAAGGAGTTAATATTGGCAACAACACCTTCGCTAGGGTCAATGATTTCGTATACCTGGGATCCTTAGTAACCGATAACAACGATGTGTCTTCAGAAATAAGTAGGAGAATAATGGCGGCTAACAAGTGCTACTTCGGACTACTAAGATACTTACGTTCGAAACTTCTTTCAAGAAGCATAAAACTTCTCTTGTACAAAACCTTACTAAGACCTATACTCACCTACGGTTCCGAATGTTGGGTGCTGAGCAAAAAAGACGAAAACTCCTTGTTGGTATTTGAGCGGAAAATACTAAGACGCATTTTCGGAGCTGTGATGGAAAATGAGAGAAAGCTCAGATGGTTGGACGGCGTCGAACAAGATATCAAGATCTTGGGAATAACAAGTTGGAGAAGGAAAGCCTCTAACAGATCGGACTGGAGAGCTTTGCTGGACCAGGCTAAGGCCCACCCGCGGCTGTAATGCCTCAGATGATGATGATGATGAAGCATCATCGCTTATTTCAAGAAAGTTGTGTTTAGCATCATTTGTCATCGAACAAAACTATCTCTCGTTTAAGCGGTAATCTGAACTTCAAAGGGACAAATAGAGATATCCCTCCAGTATAGTCAAGTAATTCGTAAAATGGAGCCTATCTGACGGTTGATAAATGAATTTATTAGCTATCTGTCGCATAAACGCTATTTGTCTGTTTGTGAAACAAATTATCAGACCCTCCATTAGTCGCGGCTGCCTGTAATTTATAAATTTAACTTGTTTTTACACAATTGTTTCTGACAGATAATGAGTTGGTTGAAAATTGTGCTGTAAATGAAAAAATAACTATTTCTATGCATATCACACTGCTTTCATAAGTACCATTCACTAGTTGTCAAGAGTTTAGTGCCAGTTATTAATTAGGCCAGTTTATTACTTAGTTCGTTGAAACATGTTATTTATGGTACATCTGTTAGTATTATTAGTCTATAAACCAAAGAGGCTCAGAGAAAACTTTAGAGTAACAAAAATGTAATTTATATTAATATATTCATCACCACTTACCATCAGGTAGAATAGTATTCAAGCACTGGATTATAATAGTAAAAAAAACTAATGTGGATATCTGCGGTAGTATTGTGAATGAAATACGAAAATTACCAGTTGCAATAAGTACCAATAAACTGACAACATAGCGCACAACAATAGAGCATCTAGGTACCACAGCGGAAAGAAAAGGAACTAACGCGACGCGACTTTATTAACATTTTAAAATTCCTTAGAATGTTAATAAAGAATTTTTCGGGAGTCCTATGTTCATTGTTGATAAGATTGTTTGCTGTTATTTACAATGACGTTAGTCGAAATAATATTTTGACTTTTATTTCAAAGATACTTGGATCAACGAGACCGTGTAGTTATTGGTTCAAGGTTTGAATCCTATTAGACAGAACTAATGCCTTTGTATTTACTGGGCAGCGGCGACACAAAGAAATTCCCTTTAATGTCCTACGGATGTCGTAAGAGACGACAGATGGAATCGGAAACAGGTGATAGGCAGCAACATCTTTCTGATAACAACAAACTTTCTGATTTTGGGGGATGAAGCTGCTCCTGTCCGTAGGAATTACTTGAATCCTGATTCCCTACACGTATTCCCTGGGTAGTACTAAACGAGCAGAACTACATACTGGTGGTAGTTTGGTCCTCTACTAGTGAGAGGCTCGGCCGAGGGTTAGTTACCACCCACCTGGCAAAGACATGGCAAGATGAAAATCGCGTTTCGGTATGATGTGATACCCATTTCTTAGGGAGAATGGGTCTGGACAGTTGCGTTGCGCATACGAACCGGTTGCGACGCGGCCGTTTCTTAGTGTCAGGTGCCTGGTTATGGAGGTTAGTGGGATCCGCAGCACAATTGCACCACTGGCCGACCGTAGATAGTCGGGGGCCCAATTAATGAGCCAGGCACTCATGAATGTCTGCCCCGCCATCTTACGAAAAATCCTGGGATGGTTCCACCATGTCGGTTGGCGAACGGAGGAGAGGGCCTGGTGGCGATTTTATTGACGTTGTGACTCTGTTTGCCTCCCTAGGTTAAATGTGTGACGCCTAGTCCAACTCCCTTTCTCTCAACCTGTTCACTCTCACCATTTATGAAAAAAAGGAAAAAGAAGAGTAAGTTTGTACAGCGGTTGCACTCCCTCTCCATCAAAGTGCACCTCACAAACATCCGATATCTGGACTGTAATCTCAATGCAGTCCACTACCGAATTGAGAGTGACAGACCGCACTTACTCTTCTTGACTGAGACGCAGATCAGATGTCCTCTAGATGCGGCGTACCTTGGTTACCCTGGGTACACATTGGAAAATTATTTTCATCAGCGTGCCGGAGTCTGTGTTCACGTCCGCAACGACATCTGCTGTAAGCGTCTCCGTTACCTTGAAGAGCCCATAATCTCTACGATCTGGGTATTAATAGACACAGGAATGGATAAAATTATTTATCTATGTGTCTACCGATCGCACAGCAGTGACCAGGAGACAACTAGGTTGTTTGAACACCTCAGTGAAGCCTCTGATGTGGCTCTAAATCGGCACCCTAATGCACAGTTGGTTTTTCTGGGGGACTTTAATGCCAGTCATCAAGACTAAACTAAACCCATACCAGAAGACCGAACACGCTGGGCGAGAGACGTGTAATTTGGCCTTGTCGCTGGGGCTCCCCAGCTGGTACAACAAGGGAATAGGGTACCTGATGTGCGCACGCAGCCAACTGCTTCGACCTTCTGCTGACGACCGATCTAGACAGGTACGATGTTCAGGTTACCTCACCCTTGGGAGCTTCTGGCCGCTGTATAGTGAAATCTGCGTCATTATATTCCCAACCTAAGTACGATTTCCACGGTGTGCAGCGAGTGTAGCGATACAACTCAGCAGATTGGAATGAGATGCGGCATTTCTTTGCATCTTATCCTTGGCGGCAGGTCTGCTCCTCGTCTGAACACCCGTCGAGCTGCGCGGATGCCATAACCGATGTGATACGTAAGGCGATAGAGTATTTCATCCCATCTGCTGGCGTGCCCATTGGTGGTAAAGCTCGCCCATGATTCAACGCCAAGTGCGCTCGAGGTGAAAAGCAGAAGCATATGGCGCACTTATCCTGGGTCGATGCTCGAAACCGCAAAGCAAATGAGACGAAGATGCATTTCGGTGAGTGTGCACAGGAATTACACGCTTTAATTCCTCCCTCTCCTTTCCACCATCGTACAACCAGCCGGTCGGCGGATCTTCATCCCTTTGTCGTTGATATTCCACGCACCAGAACCAAACGGTTTGCTTCGTCGTTTGTAATGCGTACAGTAAAGGAGTGGAACAATTTACCGACGTCTAACTTTCCATCCGAATACAATCTGGGCGTATTCGAGGCAAGAGTGAATAGGCTTTTGTTACGCTAAGACAGTGGGATTTACCATCTAAGGCTGCATCATCACTTACCACCAGGTGCGGTTGTGGTCAAGCACTGGCTTATAATAGGTAAAAAAAAACATCAATTAAAATAAAAGAAATATTTGTACAGAAACATTGTCTATAAATTTTCTAATCAGGCTATGCTCTCTATGTTTTACATACATTTGTAGTACTTACTATTATAAATATCTCCTGTGTAGTTGATAATTTTTTATTATTCGGTATTGGTTTAAAAAATTTTATGAGAAAGTCATCACCATCGTTATCATATCTGTTGTAGAAAAAGAGGATGAAAAATATGCCAATAATACTTCAAATAA